GTCCTTTCGCAAAATAGCGTATTTACGTAAAAAGTTGGTGTGTTTTGGATTTCAGTGTGTTTCTTGTACACACAGCACTTTTTTGCGAGTGTTCGTGTAAAAGATCTTGGATATCGTCAAGGCTTCTGAGAAGGCCCCTGACATTTCATTGTATTGTTTGAGTGTTCATGGTGAAAGTAATGTAGTGCTCTGCGTACGAAGAACACGTGGCTTTTTAGGCGGAAAGTTTGATTTTATGTAACAGGTCCGTCACCAGGCCTCGTTATCTGCTTTTTTGTTTTTTTTGACGCGCTCTAAGGAGCCACGCCGCTCTTTCGGCACCAAGGGTGCAGACGTATCCAAAGCCTCCTCGAAGGCACTGCAAGCCCGCACGTGTGAGCTGGTGTTTAGAATTCCGGACCTCACATGGTGAAGCGAGGCCTTGAGACCTGAGGACCCTTGGGTCTCCGGTCTCTGTTCGGGAGTAGGCGGTGTAGTCTGGACAACAGCCGCCTTGGGGCAGGTGCCACAACAATCACCGGCTCGCAACCACCAAAGCAGTGGCGAGGGCTGGTGCAGCGGTGCCCCCTGACGCACCGCATCAGCATATGTAGGGCCAAAGAATGGTGAGACCCTTTTCCTTGCTTCCTCAAAAGAAATGTTTTCTTTCACCTTCAGCATTATTATCTCTTCTTCTTTCTTCCAGTATGGACACGAACGTGAATATGCAGCATGTTTTTCGTCACAGTTTACACAGTGTGGCTGCTCTTTGCAGTTCTCAGACACGTGGCCCAGGGCTCCACATTGTGCACAGGTCTGGCAACCACGACAGCTTTTAAAGCCATACCTTTGACATTGGAAGCAACGACAGGGGTTTTGGTGTGTATGGCATGAGAGAGGTCTTTTGTTTGAATGGTTTCTGGCAATTTACTAGACGCAAACGTGAGTATTGGGTGTTCGTATGGTGTTTCCGTGTTGTCTTTTCTGATGATAATTCTCTCTACATTGGTCACATTTTCGCTCTTCCACCCCTCTAAAAATTTAGTTCGGGCAGGTCAAGTAAGTCCGTGTCAGATACCACTCCATGAGTTGTGTTCATTCATCTGTGTGGTGTTATGGTTATCGGTATGTCACCGAAAGCTGGGAGATGGTGTAGCTTTTCAAATTGTTCTTTGTCTTGAATTCCGAGAAGAAGGTCTCCGCTAGCCATTTTGATTACCTTTTATCCAGCGCCAAGGATTTCAGTAAGCCATTTAGCAACTACGAAGGGAGAGATGGCCCTGGCTTGCTTTCCAATTTTCTCACAGTGAATGACATGAAAGTGAGGAAATGTTTCGATATGCCTGTTGAAAAAATTTGTCATCGGCGCGTACCCGCTTCAAGCCGGTACGATCGGTAGGTAAAGAGAATGCTCTACGCATGCCAGTTTTATTTTTATTCAGCAGCGTGGGCGACCACCCACCATGGAGACCCTCGAGGGCACGCTGCAAGTTTGGAGATGCCGAAAGCCTGCAGACGTCAACCGCACAACACTGCTATAACCCAATGCACCTAGGCCAAGGTAGGCTATTTGCACAGGGTTAACCTTAGCCGCATGGAAGTTTGGAAGTGAACAGAAGAAAGTAGAAGACAGGACAGATAAAAAGTGAGAGATAAAGACGAAGTTTTAAGATGGAGAGAGAGGAAATGGCGACTGCCGATTTCCCCCGGGTTGGTCAGCCTAGGGGTGCCGTCTACGTGAAGCCGGGGCCAAAGGGGTGTGCTGCCTCTGCCGGGGGGCCTTAAAGCCTTTTTGTACTTTATGGTGGTTTTTAAAGTTTTTTACGATGCTTTATGAATACATGTACATGACTGCATTACATGTTTCTGATTCTTTATTGTGTTTTGCTGCCACCACTATTGCGTAAGCCTTGGCTGTGAAAATGCTTGTGTGAGGGTGGAGAATACCGGAATCCGAAAAAGATGGGCGCACCGCTGCGTAGGCCACACCCGCGTGAGTCTTGGATGCATTAGTTAAAAAATCAGGTTAGGCGTATTTGCGTGCTAATTCGCAGAAGCACATCTGAATGTGTAGGGGTGAGGCATGCTTTGTCATATTCATAAAATATGTGTCACAATTTTTAACCCGCCATTACCATGGCGGGGTGCATAAAGTAGGAGTCATTGTGCGGTGTTCTAGCAATGGGGTGCCCGTGTCCTCAGCTAGTGATCGCACACGCAACGAGAAGGGCTGTTTCACTGTGAGTCGGTTTTGAAAGAGCTGGCATCTAGATGTGTCGTTTATAGCAGGGTACGTGGCGCGGTAGGTCCTTGTGGTTATCTTCAAAAAATACGTAAAATATCGGTACAATCTTTGTATATGTAGCGACCATTAGTCTGAGTCCGCGTAAAGGCTTTCCAAGGAGCTTGTACGAAACACGCCCGTAGAAAGGCAAATGCCTAGATGGCAGACAGGTACACTATCGCTCCATATTCTAGACGCGTGCGGATAAGGCTTTTGTAGTGGCTCATCAGGCATTTTCTGTCACTGCCCCAACAAGTGCGGGACAGCACCTTTAAGGTCTTCATTGTCTTCATGCATTTTCTCCTAATGTGCCTATTGTATGGTACAAATGTGAGCTTCGTGTCTAGAAATATGCCTTAAATATTTTTTTCACACTTGACAGTTATGCGCTCACCCTGCAACTCTATATGACGATCGGGGTAGACGCTTCTTGTCCTAGAGAACAGAACACAGAAGCTATTTAGTGGATTAAGACTGAAACCACTCTCATCTGCCCATTAACAGACCTAGTTAACACAAAGCTGAACCTGTCGCTCCGCATGATTGATGTGTGGGGTTTAACCCCTACTGAAATGTTCCGTATGAAATCTTACGGAAAATATATGGACTCCGTAACATTTCCTTATGCTACATACGGAAAAAATATGGATTTTTATGGAAATATACGGAAGTTGTATGGCATTTACGGAAAGCTTCTTATGGAGTTAAGGAAGGATAAGGAAATTGTATGGCGTATAAGGAAAGCTTTTTATGGAGTATACGGAAAGATAAGGAAAATGTATGGCATATAGGGAATGCTTTTTATGGAGTATATGGAAGGATAAGGAAAGATAAGGAAACTTATGGAGCATACGGAGAGTTCATGATGGAAGATATGGAAGGATAAGGAAAGTGTATGGAGTGTACAGAAGCTTTCATAAGGAAAATGCAGAATGTAAGGTCTTACGGAAATATACAGATTTTGTAAGGTGCTTACGAAAATGTGCAATAGTGTATGAAAGGCATGTGGATTGTTGCAAAAATGTGGAAACTCTACAGTTGTTGTCACATTTTCAGCAGGAGGAAATCCGAGCTCTACAAAGTTATAAATGAATGCACAGTGACATATATAGTACAAAAGAATAACGCAGGCTAGTCTGTGTTGTCAGTCACCATTCTTCGCCCTTTTCCAGAATGAATACAACTTCTGCAGATGACCAGGTGCTAAAGTCTGTCACACGAAAAATGTGTCATTCACAAGGAATGACAATAACTTATTTTACTTGCATGCTGTTCCACGAAAACAAATCAAGCAAAAAAGCATAACTTCAAGGGCTCGTTTTTGGTAGAAACAATAATAATGAGAACTAAATTCAATGTGAATGAACTTGTCAATATTAATGAAATTGTTCTCATTAACATTGGCAAAGAGAAATGTCATTTTAAAATATCGACCATGAGCTTAGCTCTCCTGAGCACCGACAAAAGAAATGAAAATCTATGAAAACTAATTGCATGTAGCCTAAAAATAATTTTTTATTGATAGTATGTGCTCCTACAATATAAATACAGCTATACACAACTTGCCACAGCTTCATGACAGAAACGAGGTAGGGGCAGAGGGAGTGGTAAGAAAAATAATTAAGTATGAGAGCACAACTGATATGTACAAACACATAATGGTGCTTATCATTGATGCACGGATGGTCGTGTATAGAGCTGGGTCGTTTTGAGATTTTCAAAAGCATTGTTTCAGACCACCATGCAGATTACGCTTCAATTGTAGTGCTACATAAGACACAACTTATGGGCCAGCTTTAATGAATAAGAAGATTATAGGTTAAACAAATGCTTTAAAATATATCATATCATGGCTGCATGGACGTATACAAGCTATGTAAAGCGCAATAAAGTGAGGACGCATGAGCTTCTCTTGATGCTTCAGTTCTACATAGACGCTTCAACTGTGCTGCAAAGAAATTTAATCAATGTCGGTGTGTGCAACATTGTCCATTTTAAACTATCTATATGTATATATGAAATTCCTACTGCGAGTTAAGCTATGTAGCACTCCATAACTCTTCCTTTTATTAATGGCAATTTTTCAAACAATCAACATTATTCATTTTCTGTCTCATGACTTCGTGCCCGCAATTCTTGGTTTGGCTCGATCACAATTCTGCAGCCCTTATTTTGGAGGAATCAAAAAACATCAACCAAAATATATTTTGGAACTACTTCTCGGTGATATTGCCTTCCCTCAACTGCCACAGCTTGAGATGAGTCATATAGCAAGTCTCGCGCATACCTAGGGCCTACCCTTGAAGAAACTGGTCCGGCTGTGAAATGCTCAGTTTTTTCTCAAATAAATTTTTTGGTTTGAGTTTTCTCACTTCTCGAGTCCCTTCACAATCATGCAGACCCAATGTTCCCCTTAGTCCTTAATTTTGTTATATTATGAATTAAATAAAAAAATTAATAATGAAAATAAAAATACTAATAACTGTTGCGCAAAAAACACAGTCCCACATACGTACTTGAACGCAATATTGCTTTTATTTTGTTTTAGAACCTAAGGCATTAGAAAAGATAGTGTAATACCGTGAGCAGCAGACAGCATACCAAGAAGCAACTGATAAGTTTATTAGAAGACGCACCATATATAGGCGCAGAACCACGTGATCGGTCGCACAGGAATGCGCGCACTGGGTGCGCAGTGATAAGTGACGTCACGCTACAACACTCCTTCCCCTTCAGATTACTTCCGAAAGTCACTGGACTGGTATCTGTTCGGGGCATGTCGTACACGTGCACTACGACGCAGAGTTGGAAGTTCGGCTGCAGGTGGCGCGTCGTCGGCACTGGGCTGGTCCGGCGAGCCGGAGGCAGCTGCTCCGGCCGTGGGCGATGCAGTTGCCGGAAGGAGAGACGTCGCAGAGTCGGTTGCGTGTGGATTTACGAGAGGCGACCCGGCGACTGGCCCACACGCCATCGGAACCGTCGGTGGAGTCGTGTCTACGGATGCCGTTGGAGCAGGTTGTGCCTGCGGATAACTTGAAGAATCCTGGCTTCCGTGGCGGGCTCTGATGTGGTCCGAATGCGTAAATCGCACCGCCTGCGACACTTTCACCAGATAGGTTACGGGACTGATAACCTGTGTCACGACACCATCTTCCCACGACACTGTTTCACCTCGCACAGTCTTCACCCACACAGCGTCCCCCACAGCAAAACATCGCGGAACCCCCCTAGACATGTCCTTTTGCACTTTGGTACGTTGCTGCTGCTCCCGCATGGAGAGCTCGAAATCTGGTTTTAGCAATGACAGCTTTACCCGTGGCTGTCTTTTCAAGAATAATTCTGCCGGGGTCTGGCGAGTGGTACTGTGCGGAGTAGTCCTGTAACTCATTAGATAGCTGTCCAAGCGTTCCCGAAATGAATGTTTGTGGTGGCTAGCTTTGTCCTGCAAGACATGCTTTGACAGTGCTTGTTTGGTAGTCTGCACTAAACGCTCGGCCGCTCCGTTAGAAGCCGCGTGATAAGGAGGTGTCTTGACATGCCTTACACCGTTTACACTCAAGAAGGCCGCGAACTCTTCGGAAATGAACTGCGGTCCATTATCACTCACCAGTACCTCTGGCAGACCATACGCGGCAAACATACTACGTAGCTTCTCAATGGTTTTGTTAGCAGTAGTGGATGACATAGGCGAGACCTCGATCCATTTAGAGAACGCGTCGACGAGAACCAAGAACGCCTGAGAGCCCTTTACCGCATAATCGACGTGCACGCGTTGCCAGGGCCTTGTGGGATAATTCCATGGTTGCAAAGGAACCGGTGAAGCAGCTTTTTGGACGGCCTGACAAACCTGACATTGTCGAACGTAGCTCTCAACCGAAAGGTCGAGGCCAGGCCACCACACAAAGCTTCTTGCTAACGCTTTCATGCGACTAGATCCCGGGTGGTCCTCATGCAATAGCTGCAAGACCTGTAGCTGGAGCTTATCAGGTATGATCACCCTTGATCCCCACGTTATGCATTCTTGCTCTACTGATAGCTCGTCGCGCCGGGAATAAAATGGTCTAAATGCTTCAGAGCACTCTGAAGGCCATCCATTTAAGATGAAGTGCGTCACGCGAGACAAGGTGGGATCACGCCGTGTGGCTCGCGCTACGTCATCCGCTTTGAGGGGCATGCTGTCAAATAGCAAGAGACACTCGGAAGGTTCATCGGCCGCTACAATAGGCCGTGGAAGCCGAGACAGAGCGTCAGCCACTTCAACATTTCTTCCCTTTCGGTATTTTAGTTTATACTGGTACGCTGCCAGGGTAATTGCCCATCTTTGCATTCGAGCTGCAGCAAGCGCAGGCACCGGCTTGTCGTGGCCTAATATTCCGAGCAATGGCTGATGATCTGTATAAAGAGTGAACTCTCGTCCATACAAGTAGCGGTGGAATTTTCTTAACCCAAACATCAGTGCTAATGCTTCGAGTTCGCACTGAGCATAGTTTTTCTCTGCGGCTGTAAGTGTTCTAGAAGCAAATGCCACTGGCCTTTCGTGTCCCTCTGCGGTCTCATGAAAAATGACAGCCCCCAATCCATACGACGAAGCGTCACATGTCATAGCCATTGGTTTCGCCACATCGTAAAAAGTGAGCACATTACTCTTGACAAGTAACAGTTTCGTAGAAGCAAATGCTTCGCTACACTCCCGTGTCCACGACCACCTTTCGCCCTTGCGCAACAGACGGTACAATGGCTCTGCCACGCAGGCAAGGTTACTTAAGAACTTTGCATAAAAGGTTAACATGCCGAGATAAGCCTTTAGCTCTGTTTGGCAAGTGGGCTCTGGCGCTTCTGTGATCGCCTTTATCTTTTCTTCTGTAGGATATATACCTTCAGCGCACACAGTGTGACCGAGATAAGTCACAGTGCTCTGAAAAAACCGACACTTTTCCTCTTTCAGTGTCACGTTGTAGTCACTCAGCCGCTGCAGGACTAGTTCCAACGTTTTTTGACAGTCGGCTAAGTCTTTTCCCGACACAATGACGTCGTCTATGTAACATCCCACGTGCGGTATGCCTTTGAGCACCTCATCCATGAAGGACTGAAAAATGGCTGGCGCACTGGCTACCCCAAATGGTAAGCGCTGGAACTCGAACAGCCCCCTGTGCGTATTAATAGTTAGCAGTGGTCGGGACTCGGCAGTGAGCGGAATCTGCTGATACGCGGCCGAAAGATCCAACACACAAAACACTCTGCCGCCAGCTATGGCAGAGAACAAATCTTCCGGTCTAGGCAATGGGTAGTGGTCGGTCTTTAAAACAGGATTAATGGTGACTTTGTAGTCCCCGCACAGCCTCAGTGAACCATCTTTCTTTTGGATTACGACTACTGGCGTGGCCCAATCGCTCCGATTTACGGGGCGTATAACACCGCTTTTCTCTAGCCTTTCTAGCTCGCCTTCCACTTTATCTCGAAGCGCAAATGGGACGTTTCTGGCCTTGCCAAAAATAGCCGTACAATTCTGGCTTAAAACTATCCTTGCTTGATAGTTTTTTACTTTTCCAGGTTGCTTAGAAAACACCCCTGGGAACTTCTTTTTAACCGCCTCTACCTTGTGAGAGTCGCTTACATTTATAGCAAACACGCTTTTCCAGTCAAGCCCGAGCCTTTCAAGCCAACTTCGCCCCATCAGCAATGGTAGCTGCTTGCCGTTATCCTTGACGATAATAGCGGGTAGCCGCAAAGACTGTTTTCCCACCGTAACGGAAACGTTGCATTGCCCTTTTACTGGAACAGATTCCCCAGTGTATGTTTTTAGGGTGACTCGAGATGGCTCGCACTTGACATGAGGAAATGCGTTCAGCCTCACACTCTCAGGAATTAGTGTTACAGCTGCTCCCGTATCAATCTGCATGCAGAGGTCTTGCCCTTCTACGTTTAGCTGCACTTCATACCCAGAACGCACGGTATTGATAACATGGTACACATCTAATTCAGAGTCACTATCAGAGCAGTCCACCACGTTTGCAGTCTTGAGTTCTCTGCGATTACTTGGACACATCTTCTGTAGATGACCGATTTGAGAACAGCTGTGACACTGGACGTTCTTATACCAGCAAACACTAGCCGCATGCGCCTTGCCACATCTTTCGCAAACTCGCTTGGCTTCCTTGAGCTTCCGAAGCTTCGATTTCTTTTCGCTTCCTTTTCCTCTTATCGCCATTGCATAAAAAGCCGCTTCCTTGCCTTCTGCATGAAGTAACGCTGTCTGTCGCGCAGCCTGCTCTCGGTCCTGGGCTATCTTGCACGCCTTTTCGAAGGTTAAATCTTCTTCAGCAAATAGGGCGAGTTGCGTTTCCTCGCGTCTTATGCCTGCCACTATTCTGTCTCGCAGCGCGTCTTGCAGAAACTGACCGAAATCGCACTTCCTTGCTAACTGTTTTAAGGCCACTATGAAGTCCTCGACGCTTTCCTGCTCTTCTTGTGCTCGCTTGTTAAATTTGCAACGTTCGGCAATGACCGAGCACTGTGGGCTATAGTGTTTCTTCAACAGCACTGTGACCTCTTCAAAGGACTTGTCCCCAGGAACAGCGGGTACTACCAAACTTTTGAGCACCTCGTACGTTCGTGGTCCTATCACACTCAAGAATACTGCCAGCTTCTTTTCCTCTCTGATGTCATTTGCGGTGACGAAGTGCTCAAAACGCTCCAGATAGGATTCAAAATTCTGATCCTTCTCGTCGAACTCGTCTAGCTTGCCTAGTCGCGCCATTGTTCAGTAAAAGTGCAGTATACTTATCGGGTTGCTTTCCCCGACGACTGCGTTGCCTCTTGCCGAAGGTAGTGCCGCCGAGTTCAACCGTCCCAGGCCATGGCTGCCGTTGTTTTCTGGTCCATGGCTGTCGACCGCCGATCGCCCGCAATACTGCTTCGTACTGAGCTAGTACAAGGGGGCGGATCCCATCCTCGTCGCCAGTGTAATAACGTGAGCAGCAGACAGCATACCAAGAAGCAACTGATAAGTTTATTAGAAGACGCACCATATATAAGCGCAGAACCACGTGATCGGTCGCACAGGAATGCGCGCACTGGGTGCGCAGTGATAAGTGACGTCACGCTACAACAGATAGCAGTACAATAAAAACGTTGAAAAAAAATAAAAAAAATTAAGCTTAGCGGGACTCGAACCTACTTTGCTCAGTTGTGCTCGCGTACGTGAACTGAGTGCGTTAGCTTGCTAAGCTATTCGCGCTGAAGGTAGACCGTGTGTTTAAGTTATGTACATAAATTCGCTTTTTACACGCTATGTGTAGGCATATATATGTACAATATGCGATCGTATCTATTGTTGTGTGCATATGTTTTGGGATTGTATATACGTCACATGCTTTTCGCATGTCTTTCAACTCTAGATTGCTGCCCCGCATGGGATGAAAACAAGTATTTTTACACCCACACACAAGCTTGAGCAGTTGCAGGTTGTTTCCGGGGGCTCTCTTGCGATTGAGTCGGCCACCACAGGGAATTAGAGTGATACGCCATTAATCCCTCCATCTAGCTGTATTCCACTTAGTAGCTATATCGCTTGATGACAAATCGAGCGCGGGGCGCGACGCTATTGCGCATGACCATGCCTCGCGTTGTGGCGACATCAGCTCATTGTGCCGGCCGGCTTGCTTCGATTTGCTTCAGAGCAAAGAAATGTCATACCTTGAAAGATAGCGTACTGCACTATGTCAAAATGTTACTGCTTTGTAGCCATCGTATTATTCATTGAGAATTGATAACTCTGATATCACTATTGTAGAGCTTTGCGTCGGCGAAACGCACCGAACGTGAAACCACACTACGTCTGTCGTAGAAGCAGTAGGAGGCTGTCGTCTGCTAGAACAAAAACAAAACAAAAACCTGCGAAAATGTTTATAAGTTGTAACTTGTTTTTTGAATAACCGTTTATCATTTTTAAAGTTATTTTGCCAGATAACATACATTTTTTCAGTTTATAGCAGCGACAGATCTTTTTTTTATTTTCCTCACACAGATATCCAAGCCAAATCCATTCACAGCTAAAGCCACATGTTGTTTGTCTTTGTCTCCGTGGGTATGCTCTCTCCTGTGTTCGCGCTGCTACACACGAGAGCACGAAATGTTAAATTTACGCAAGGAAGCGCCGTTCCTCGTTCATGTGATGGGCTAAGATTGCGCCCTATTCCCGCGGTTGTTCGTGTGCGGATCAAGTGCGAGTCGTCCAAGGAATCGGCGGGTTGGGCGGGCGCTCGAAGGACTCCGAGGTGACGGCTGACGCCTGTGGTTGCTTCCCTCAGGACAGTGTGAAAGAAACTAAAGGTAAGGGGGACACTTTTTTATGTAGACCAAGTATGCCACTCAGTGCAAGTGTGTGTTGCTGCACTCGAACGAGGCGTCGTGAAACGGCAACCTTACGCGCCTTTGCGAGTGCAGTTGCCGATTCGCTTTGACAACGCTAACGCCAGCAGAGCCATGGCGCATCGGCGCGGCCTTACTGGAGCTAATTCGAGACAACTGCGGCAACATGCATGTGTATGGTGATCGATTTTTTCATATGTGCAATGTAGTGAGGAAGGCGCACACGGCGCTTGCTACGTTGTTGATTAAACGAAGCCTGCAGTGCCATTTGACGCAAAGCAGCATTTTGTTTACGTTCGCGGGCGATACAATTTGTAACTTGGCTTGATTCACCTAGCCAACCGCCTAAGTGGGTTGATTAGCATACGTTCAGGGTAGAGCGTTATTATGCCCCTAAACAGTGGCGTGTGTTTGTTGAAAGATACAATGTGTGTGCCTAGTGTAGAGAGAGAGAGAGGTGTTCGTGCAATCTGCATGTGTACCTGCAAGACGCCTTTGCTTGTAACTAATAATGTACCGGCCAGCACCTACATTGTACGCCTGACTTTGAAGAAAACTTGCATGCACAATGTGAGATTTTGTAATCTGCCAGAGTTGCTTTTTATAAAATAATACACTGCCAGCATGTTCAAAATATGTTTCGCTGCTGTGTGGCAGGGGTGCGGTTATCACGCTGTTGTGTAGTTGCTGATGCAAGCACTTATAGTTTTGATGCGTTAATATTTCTCATCTAACTCATCAGGTGTTTGGCTGTTTCAGCAGAAACAAGGCAAAGAGAGAAGGAAGACGGCTAATGACAGGACCAGTGCCGACTTTTGTTTGCAGGAGAATACCCATGTTTGTGTATTTATTGTGACAGCCTTTCTGTGTTGCTTTTTTGCCCAATTTATGCAACAACCCAGTTGTCAGCAATATGAGAGAGAACACTGAAATTAGCTTTTAAATATCATGGTGACTAAATGCCTAGTAACTCACAGCACAAAGTAACAACAAAAGACATCAGTATGATCAATGTGGATGAGTACAGTCTTGCATCTAAAAAATATATTGTGCAAAATGTTGCCTAAGTAAGAAACCTCTCTATGTTTGCAAATAGTGGACGTCACTTCGAGCACCGTGCCAGCCATTCCCTCCCTCTGTGCAAGGGCTGGTTGGCAAGGAAGTTGTTTGTGACGTTCCTGATAGACCACTTAGATGTATGCGATTCTAAACCTGTAGCCTAATATATACGTAATCTTTTGTGCAGTTAGATCGCTGCATCTGACACCTACAACTTATTTGCATATTTACATTGCTCCCTTAGGACCTAACACACAAACTTGTTGTTTGCATTGTCACTTAATGAATATCGAGCGGTAAAGGTACTGAGTATATGTGAAACAAGAATCTCTGCTTATTACATGAAGAAATATGAGGCCTTCGATAAAACGAGTTATACCTTTATTGAGCTTGCGTACTCGTCGGGGTGATTCATACATGCAACTTCAGCAAATGGGTATCTTCCAGCCCGGTGACCTTGCAATTTTTTTCTGCACACAGCGCAAACACCGAGATGTACTCACTCGCAGATGGTCGCGTCAAGTGCATATTTACCTTGACTAAAATGTCGAATCAAGTTTTTTCCTCGACCGGTCCCTGCCATGAGTGCTAGCGTCTTCGCAAACAAGACACATTGTTATTGCCACTGCACACACCATACACAGTATTCTCAGTTGAACCGATATTCTCAATACCTTTCAATGCACACTACATGCCGCAATCAACAGTGCACATTTTTGAAGACTATGCCGCTGTTGCTCGCACAGGCCACCACGTGTGTTCACTTCTTCAAGATAAACAGACAGCGTGGCAAATATTTTACCACACAGTTTACCACACAGCTGGATGTTTCTGACACATACTACAGCTAATGTCGACATTGTAACGTGAAGTGTAAGCTTTGAAAATTTAAAACTTGCCCCAAACACCGCACAACTGTACCGGGCTGAGCCACCAGCGGGAGTGTTTTTCCAGCCACACCTTTTACATGTGCCAGTGACATCATGCTGTGACGTACCTCGGTAGGGGCCTATCGCTGCATACTTTATGTGAATGAGGGTCCTGTTAGTGAAAGCAGGCATTGTTGATTTCGTAACTTGTTCATGCCCAATTTGACCTTCATTTGCTCAAGTTGTCTGACTGATATTCAGGCGAACTTTTCTGTAATAATTTATACAGTTGGCAGTCTGTGCTTGCCCCATACTGTTGTTACTGTTGTTTCTTGTTGTTACTTTGCACTGCTCATTACTACTCACCTACAGAAACTAGCCTATCTTGCTGCTGTTTTGGACAAGATGCAGCTGGCAAGTGCGATAGTGTTCATTACTCTAAATTCTCGAGCAAAAATTATCGTTTCATATTCAGTTAGTTGCATTCATATCAGTACATTATAAGAAATCATTGATTAAACATGAATCCGTGTTCCTTTACATAATGCTCACAACTTTTATATCAAATTGAATGGTGTTTATAAAAAACATGGGTTTTAGCTAAACTTCATGCTCTTTTCTCGAAGAGCTGACAAAACGCTATTGCATGCTTACTTGCCATGAATTGAACTGTGTTCGAAATACACTGCAATTCTTCACCGGACTGCCAGTACACTTCACATTGGGGGAACATTTATTAACCATGGATTGATTAATTAGGAACGGAAAGAAAGAAGCGGCAGGCCGGGATACTTGATATTGGCATCCGTTTTGCTACCCAGCGCATTATCATGCAAACTTCCTATAGAGTGGTTATGCGTCTTGCATGTGTGTCTGTAAACCAAGAACTTTGGGTAGAACTATATTTATCTTACAAATGGTTGCAGGACTGTGGAGGCTGTAGGGCTGCTTAGGAATGGTGGAATCCCTGGACATGTGTTCAACCTTGCTGCATCAGCTCCTTGGTGTTTTCACGGCATCTTTCAGATGTGTTGGGTGAGTAAAGCAAGCAGGTTTCAACAGAAGGAAAAGTATAATATGGCAGCACCTCTTGTGCGTGCCTTACATCTCAAGTATATCAAATATTTATCTTGCCTCGTGGCCTGTAATTTTTAAACACACACTTCTTTTTGCTTTATATTTGAGTCTTGATGCTTCGACAGCAATGTATTTGTGTTTGACAGCAAGTGTTCTTGAACGAATAACTGATCTTAATAATGACAAAACACCCATCATACTTGGTCCTTAGCATAAGCTAGCACTTATCTGTAGCAGATTCAATTATTCATTTTTTGCTGGGATGATAATGGGCAAGTAGCAAAGGCAAGTTCAGATTGGAGTGGTGGGTGACGTCTGCTTAGGCTCTGCCATATTGCTTTGCAACCAGAGTTACTTGTGGCCACATATACCATGAAGCCACATGACGTGCATTCTAAATGAGATTACCATATAACATTTCACTGCATCTTAGTATGTGCCAAACAAATGCAGATATCATTAGCTTGCCACTATAAAGGGATCCTAAACCAACACAAGGTTGAAATTTAGTCGTGGTGTTGCAGCTGTGTATGACTCTACAATGGATGCATAGCCGTGATAATTTGTCTATATGTTGTCGCAATAGTAATGTTACACACATTGTA